TATTATTATTTTAATATATTTAATATTTAATGAGATAAATATAAATATTTAATAATTATTCAATAAGATAAGAAAAAGAATATTTTATTTGATCTAATTTTATTCTTAGGTATTACCGAAATTAAACGATAATATTTATTTAAAACCTGATAGCGAATGTACAAATATTTCTCCAGAATATAAAGAGAAAAATTCAAGTAACAATGTTTATGCTAAAAAAGATGACATATCTCGTTCAACTAATACTGACTTTGGTTTAAATGAGAATATTCAAAAATTATGTGAGATGTGGATGTATAATTGTATTAACAACTTTGATTATTTAACTGCGCTCAATAATTTGGCTGGTAGAAGATACGGTAATCCCAGCTGCCATCATGTTATGCCATGGGTGACGGATTTTACAACAAGAAATGGTGGTAATTGGAGAGATTTAACAAAGTCGAAATTTCGATTAAATAAGGGAGATAGACAATTGGATCTTACATTTGATTCGCAGTCAACAGAGGTATATAAATTGTATAAGTGCAAAAAGATTTATATTGAATAGTCAATTAAATTATAGGTCGGACACCATGTATCTGACGTCTTGTCAGAGATTACCTATTACGTATATCTTTCACGTCGATATAATAAGTCTGTGCTCTGTAAACATGTACGACCATTATGGGTACCCGGAGAATACCCGGCTTCAATTCAAAGATTACATGACTGGAGCCCCGATGAATGTATACCACAGTTTTTCACTGATCCCAGTGTTTTTAAGGTAACATATAAATTATATGTAGTCTAGTTAAAATGTACTTTTTGCTTGCAAAAAGGTAATGATGATTTTTTAATATATCTTAAAATTTGATGTCCTAATGAATAGCTCTTATACACAGATAATTTACATATCATTAACATGATACGTAATCATGTTAGTATGTAGTGATGTGATTACTACATACTACTACATCAATATCTTACGCACACATACACAAATTTTCGTATAACAATAACGTTTTAATTAAACATTTAAATTCACTTTTAAGAAGTCCACGTTGTTTCTTCGTGCAAACTGTGGACTTTTATTTTGTAGCTTTTTTTATGAAGCAAATGTTATGACCTGATAGCTCTGGAGTACTAAATTACAGGACAATAAGAAATGATAAAGATCTCAATTTTGAAATTTTTTGTCGTTCTCAGCATAGACTCTACCTCACAGACACGTATTAATGCATATATTTTAATCTTGGAAAAGGATTTTCGAATCAATAAAACAGAAATATTTTATGGTTTATTCTGATACACATTGACACGAAATATTAAATATCTCATAAACTATTTGTTGTTTGGTATCTACCTTGATACTTTTATATGTAAAGTAATTAGAGGAATCGTATATTATGTGAAAAAAAATAATATTATGTGAAAAAAAATAATTTCACTTAGAAAATTTTACGTAACTTTAACCTAAGGATATCTCAAAGTTATTATCTTCTTTTCTTTTTTTAACCGAGCACTTTTGTCTGAAACTTTTTTGTTTTAATCTTAAAAATTTTGAAATATTTTACTGGATGAATTAAAATAGACCATTTTGTATAAAACATATGAAATAAGAAGATCAGAATCAAAATTCAGAATCTGCCAATAATAATCAATTATTATTATTTATTTAGTATGAAACCATGCATCTGTAGTATATACATCTGTAGTATGTACATTATTATTTAACAATGATAAAATATTTATTTTCTTTAGGTTTAACATTTTAAAGAAATGTCTTATTTACAGTCCATCCATGAGGATTTGTTAGATTTAGAAATTCCAGCATGGGCAACTTCCCCAGAAGATTTTATCGAGAAACACAGAGAAGCATTGGAAAGCCTTCATGTTTCAGAAAGATTACACCATTGGATAGATTTGACCTTCGGCTACAAGTATGAATGTAGTCTTGCTCAATGAACAGTTTATTATTTATTTGAATTTTTCTGACATATGTTTTTTACACGATAGATTATCTGGTTTCGCTGCTATAAAATCAAAAAACGTTTGTTTACAATTAGTCGATAATCATACTGATTTAACTAATTCTGGTGTTGTACAACTTTTTACACAACCACATCCACAAAAAATTATTCCATCTCCCTATTGGGGTAAAGTACCACCACGTCTTCGATCGACATCTTCAACCAATAAAAGTAATAAGTTTTAGACAAAGATTTCAAATTATTAGAAATTTTGAAAACATTCTTGTAATTTTATCAAATTGTTACATAATTATAGAAAGTGATCAACCTACGAGTAGGATCAGTGATGATGAAGGTCACAGTTCTGGTATTGAAGAAGAAGAATCTACGACAGCAACAAATGTATCAAGGTCACCTCTTGTATTAAGTCGTTTATTGAGTCGTTCCAGAGGTTCTTTGCTGTCAGAAGATAATGTTAAATCGGACAAATCCATTAATCAGGCCATTATTCTTCCAAAGGATTTCAATCCTGTTGCAGCACTCATACAAGTAGAAACTACACATGCTTTTATGCATAAGATTAACTATCAAAATTAT